CATGATTCCAAATCTGGGCTCCAGTACTTTCTTAGGAAGTTTTCTCAGTGGTTGTAATGTGGAGACTGGATACAAGAAGAGCAAGCATGGAAGTAGGAAGACCAGTTTGGAGGATCTTGCAGTAATTTAAGAAGGAAATAATGTGATCCTAAACTATAGCAGATGCAATAGGGATGCAAAGAAAGAAGAGTTTGAGACCTACAAAGGAGGTTGCATCAACTGACCTTGGTGATCAGTCACAGGTGGTGCCTGAAGAGCTCAGAATGGCTCTTAGCTTTGGTGGCTGGGGGGAGATGATGGGACGAGAGGCTCACTGGAAGGAGATGATGAGTTCAAGTTGAAACCCAGGGCAGAAACCCTGCCATTGGACTGAATACCAGTGGTAGAAACTCAGGGGCAACTCAGTAGAGTTGGGGACTCCCAGGTGTACCCAAAAGGGGGCTTAGGACAGCAAGAACAATTCCAGACCCCACTGGCTAGAGGGAATGGGGCTCCTAACCCACTGCCTGGTGTGTTAAGATTGAATCAGTGCAGGACTGAGGCTGCAAATAAGAGGTCTTCAGTACCTGCAGCCAAGCAGGGCCTGACAAACTGTTTCCATGGAGACGCGGTGTGCGCAGAAGGGAATGAGGAGGAGGGATGATCCATTCCAGAGCCTTGGGTCACAAGGCTGTGGCAGGCTAACACATAAACAGGAAAAAGGCATAGGCAATCAGAAAAGGCTGTTCAAAACTATTGGCAGTTGATTGGGGTTGTAGCGTCATAATTCTAGATTAGGTCTAACAATTTAGAAGGATTCGGGTAAGCCACTTGATGATCCTGCTCGTTATTTCAGGTACCAGTTAATGAGGGCACAGAGAAAGGGATGCCAACTCAGACTACTACAAATATATGTGCCTCCGTCTTCTGCCCTTCTACACCCTTAGACTCTAAGTAGCTACATATTACTTCCAAATTTCTGGAGAAACAGGCAGAGATATGGGAAGTTAATTTTTTTTTCATTCACCATGCTAATGGCAGTAATACTCAGGAAACCTTTGGAGCTCTTTGGGAAACTTAGATGCTGGCAGAACCCTAGATTGGATGTCATTATTAAGCAATTTAAGGAACCTTTGGGAAAGAGAGCCGGCAGCAGTTTTAAATGTCTTAAACAGCTTTATTGTGCTGTGAGGACTCTGCCTACCAGGCAGAAGGATGACTTGGCTGCTGCAAGTGACAAAACTGAGTTGATCTTGATTTGGTCAGTTGCTCTCAATTCAGGCCTGGGAATTTTTTTTGGCCTGGGACTTTTTTTTCTTTATTTTTTGGCCAAAGGGATCTCCCCCTGTGGGTGAGCTGTTTGAACCTAATCTCTGGAGGGGAAACTGATATTAACAATCCTAATGGCAGATGGGAGTTATTAACCTTAATCTTCAAGGTATTCAAATGATTGATGGCAGTACTCATTAAGAAGTCAATAAAAATTACGTCAGGGCTACAGGCCTTTGTAAAGATCCTGCTGGAGGCAAACTTTGTTCCAAAGATAGTTTTTGTTTTAGCTACCATCCAGTTGGCCGTCTGACTCATGGCAACCCCATGTACAATGGAATGGAACACTGCCCAGTCTTGCACCATCCCCATGATGGGTTGTAGATCGGACCATTGTGATCCATAAGGTTTTCAGTGACTGATTTTCAGAAGTAGATTGCCAGGCCTTTCTTCCTGGTCTGCCTTAGTCTGGAAGCTCTGCTGAAACCTGTTCAGCATCATAGCAACATACAAGCCTCCACTGACAAACAGGTGGTGACTGTGCATGGAGTACATTGGCCAGGAGTTAAACCTGGGTCTCCTGCATGGAAGCCAAAATCTACCAAGAACCACCACCCCCACTAGGATGGCTATAATCAAAAAGACAGATAATAACAGGTATTGATAAGGATGTGGAGAAATTTGAAACCTCATACATTGCTAGTGGGGAATGTAAAATGGTACAGCAGCTTTGGAAAACAGTCAAGCAGTTTCTCAAAATGCTAAACAGAGTTGCCATATGACCCAGCAGTTCCACTCATAGGTATACACCCTAAAGAAATGAAAACATAAGTCTACACAAAAACTGTACATAAATGTTCATAGCAGCATTATTCATACTAGCCAAAAATCAGGAACAACCCAACTGTCCATCAGCTAATGAATGAATAAACTGTGGTATATCCATACAATGGATGTTATTTGTCAATAAATAGGGAATGGATTACTGATTCATGCTACAACATGGATGAACCTTGAAAAAATTTTGCTAAGTGAAAGAATTGAGTCACAAAGGGTCACACATTGTATCACTCCATTTATATGAAATGTACAATACAGGCAAATCTATAGAGACAGAAAATAGAATAGTAATTACCTAGGGCTGTGGGTGGGGCGTGTTAGGAGGAAATGGAGAGTGACTGCTTAGTGTATGGAGTTTCTTTTTTAAAGTGATGAAAATATTCTGAAATTGACTGTGGTGATGGTTGCACAACTGTGAATATGCTAAAAACACTGAAATGAACAATTTAAATGGGTGAATATTATGGTATATGAAGCATATCTCAATAAAGCTGTTGATTAGATAGACAATAAATGGTTGGATGGGTGGGTAGGTGGGTGGGTGGGTGGGTGGGTGGATGGATGGATGGATGGATGGATGGATGGATGGATACATAGAAGATGTTAGATGATAAGTGGATAGATGGATGGATGGATAAATAGATAGACTGATAGATAATTATTAGACCAAGGTATCTAAGAATGCCTAAACCCTGCCTTGGCTCAGGTACTGTCCTTACCCCTGAGGATACAGAGCCAATACTAATGTAACACTTAGTAAATCAGTCTATACCTAAATGCTAATGCATAGCTCGCTGGTAAACTGGCCTAGACCTCATAGCCAAACTTGAAGATTTATGGGGGCTTTTTTACTTTCCCTAAGCACAAATATTTATCAATATGTATGCCTAGTCCCAAGAAAGGTGATGCAACCAAATGCGGAAGTTATCGAACAATATCATTAATATCACATGCAAGCAAAATTTCGCTGAAGATCATTCAAAAGTGGCTGCAGCAAGTATATCAACAGGGAACTGCCAGAAATTCAGGCCGGATTTAGAAGAGGACATGGAACCAGGAATATCATTGATGATGTCAGATGGATCCTGGCTGAAAGCAGAGAATACCAGAAAGATGTTTACCTGTGTTTGATTGACTATGGTAAGGCATTTGTCTGTGTGGATCATAACAAATTATGGATAACATTGCGGAGAATGGGAATTCCGGAACACTTAATTGTGCTCATGAGGAATCTGTACATGGATCAAGAGACAGTCGTTCGAACAGAACAAGGGGATACTGCATGGTTTCAAGTCAGGAAAGGTGTGCATCAGGAGGGTTGTGTCCTTTCACCATACTTATTCAGTCTGTATGCTGAACAAATAATCTGAGAAGCTGGACTATATGAAGAAGAATGGAGCATCAGTATTGGAGGAAGACTCATTAACAACCTTGGATATGCAGATGACACAACCTTGCTTGCTGAAGATCAGAGACCACAGCCTTCAGTATGGATTACAACTCAACATAAAGAAAACAAAAATCCTCACAACTGTACCAATAAGCAACATCATGATCAATGGAGAAAAGACTGAGGTTGTCAAGAATTTCATTTTACTTGGATCCACAATCAACACTCATGGAAGCAGCAGTCAAGAAATCAAGACACATTGCATTGGGTAAATTGGCTGCAAGAGATCTCTTTAAAGTGTTGAAAAGCAAAGACGTCACCTTGAGGGCTAAGGTGCGCCTCACCCAAGCCATGGTGTTTTCAATCGCCTCACATGCATGCGAAAGCTGGACAATGAATAAGGAAGACAGAAGAAGAATTGATGCCTTTGAATTGTGGTGTTGGCCAAGAATATTTAATATACCATGGACTGCCAAAAGAAGGAACAAATCTGTCTTGGAAGAAGTACAGCCAGAATGCTCCTTAGAAGTAAGGATGGCGAGATTACGTCTCACATACTTCGGACATGTTATCAGGAGGGATCAGTCCCTGGAGAAGGACATCATGCTTCGTAGAGGGTCAGCAAAAAAGAGGAAGGCCCTCAACAAGAAGGATTTGACACAGTGGCTGCAACAATAGGCTCAAGCATAGCAACAATTGTGAGGATGGCACAGGACCCGGCAGTGTTTCATTCTGTTGTACGTAGGGTCACTATGAGTCGGAACCTACTTGACAGCACCTAACAACAACAAGCCCAAAAATGAATCTTGTAATTTTACCACCCTCCACTGGGTGTAGAGATAGGAGAGCAACCAAGAGCATTTGGAGAATAGTTGAGAACCAGATGGCTGGACTTCATCCCAGGTGGGAGATGAAACCGAGGAGAGGGTAAGAGAGAGAGAGAAACCTTGGGTACTTAGTTTACTATTTTAGCATCAAGAAAATAGAAAGAAAGAAGACAGCACCACAGACAAAGTTACAAACTCATGGGCATGACCTTTTAACACCCAGTGACTCTAGTTCCTGTAAATGGGGCCCAGTGCCTACAGTCCGATATATTGTCTCCTCTTGCAGAAGGAAAAGATAGAGAGAAGGGCAGAGGTTCCTCTCCTGAGATGCTCTTTGGTAGGGAGGAAGATTCCTGCCACAGAGATATAGTTGCAGGTAGTGGAGAAGACAAGGTCAAACACAAGTTGAGCAGAAGCCTTCTGTGAATAAGAATTCTCCACAGTTCCTTGCAAATCTAAGACCCATCAGAAGAAGCTGGTTATTTCAAGATTTCTAAGTAAGATTTTACTCTCAAAGGAAATTACAGAATGATTAAAGTGATTTGTGTTTTATAGCAAGGTTACTGTTGTTGGTATGAATGAAGTGCACTGCAGATGTTATCAGATATTTTGGGCAGGGGAAGCCATCCATTGACAATGCCAGAGCTTTACTTTATTAGTGCCTCGTGTGTTCATTCTTTCCTCTTCTCTCTTCTTTCCTGAGCCAAGCTACGCTCCATTTCTATTCATGGAGAAGAACAAGAATGGAAATAAATTTCATGGCAATATAGAAGGGACACAACCTAATGACTTGCTTTCTGGTGCATTGATTTATGAAAGGGAAATGATCTACCAGGTGCCTTTGATGAAGATAGTCCCTTTTCCTCTATTCTGTTGTTGTTAGGTGCTGTTGAGTTGGTTCAGACTTATAGCAGCCCCTCTTGCAACAGAAGGAAACACCGCCCAGCCCTGCACCATCCCCACAATCATTGCTATGTTTTAGCCCATTGTTGCAGCTAGTGTTTCTTCTGTTAAGACTTCCAGAAATGCAACAGTCTGGTCTTTAAGTATGATTAGGTAGCCCAAACCCCCGGGAGATTGTGGGGGTAGCTGGGGAGCCGGTTAGAACTGGGAGCAATGTTTCTCTGTACAGACTTCCTGTGTTCAGGTTTGGGGTTGAAATGTTTTGTCTACTCCTGTGAACTTTCTTTTTGGCTGCTTTATCACATGTAGCACCTGTTAGACACTCATAACTGTGACCACCAATAGTCATCCTGTGCTACCCACCTTCTTACCTTTAGAAAGTTTGGCCTTCCAGAGAGCACTATCTCAGGGTAACTCATGTTTCCAATTCAGAACTCCAATCAGTTTGCTTTGTTGTACAGAGAGGTGATTTATCCATGGTTCTCTTCTCCCTTGCAAAATTCTGGTACATATAAAAAGGAGACAGAATAGTAAGCATAATGGACACCTAGTATCGATTACCTAGATCAAATGATTGCTGAAACTTGCCATATATTCTTCTTTTCTTTCTTATTTGTTTGTTGAAGTAACTTAATGTAAGTTATAGACATCATGCTGTTTCATCCCTACATATTTCAACATTCAGCTTTAAAAAATAAACGTATTTTTGATACATAAACACAATTTCATTATCACACCTAACAAAATTCACATAATTTTTCAACAGCATTTAATACCCATTCACATTCAGATTTTCCCATTTGTTCCCCAGATGTCCTTTACAGCTAATAACTCAACAAGATCCACAGATTTCACTTGATTGTTATGTTTCTTCAGGCTTCTAATCTAGAACTTTCTCCTCTCTGCACATCCACATACTTTTTTTTTTTTTCATGACAACTGACTTCTTGAAGACTCTGGACTAATTGTCCTGCAGAATGTCCCAGTCTCTAGATTTGTCTGATTGTTTCCTCATGGTGTTGTTAAACATGTTCCTGTACCCTCTATATTTCTTGTATACTGGAAGTTTTATCTAAAGGTTGTATGAGAATGAGGTTAAACATTTTGGTAAGAATTCTTCATAGGTAATGCTGTGTACTTCCCATTGCATCATATTAGGCTGTATTGTCCAGTTGTCCCATTATTCTCAAGGCTAAGATTGATCACCTGTTAAAAAATATTTTTGTTTTGTTTTTAATGAGGACTTGACTATTGTCACTTTTTTTAATGATTATCCCTACTTTCAATGTTCAGATAAAGGTGCTCCAAGGAATTGCCTGGCAGCTAGGAGACAGCCTTTATCCTGTACAAAGGATAAGAGGATAAAGACTGAGGTATTATCCTCTTTACGGAGTAGACACAGGAGTTTATCTCTGAGGGTGAATAATCAGGGCAGAAGTTTCTGGAATATGAGGTCTAGCAGAGACTACTTTTTCTCTGGATCCAGGGAAAAGGTACTCTGCAATTGAAAACTTAGCCAGAATCTAACCTTGGATAAATAGATCCTTTTGCTAACACTTATTAAAGACAGTCAGAACACTATGGGAATTCAGATTCAGAAGAATCTTTTATGGCATTTTAAAATAACTTCCCCACTTCCACCCTCAACCTCCCCACCCCCTCCACATGCAGAAACCACTTGAGGTTCTAGAAAAAAAAACTAAGGAAGGGCGTTTTTTTTGGATGCAGAATAAACAGGTCTTCAGAGGTTTCTTGAGTACTCTAAATTTTTGAGTAAGGAAAATATATATATCTGTTCTTTTTGATGCTTACCTCTTATCGTTCAGCTAGCATAAAACGAATAACTGATCCATTGAAAATATAAGCAACTAAGCTAAAGGACTTCATTATTTAAACTAAGACTTTGGGTCTAAGGAAAATGAGTTATTTTTAATCTTCAAATAAACACTTTTGTTTTATAGCTCTGCTCAGGGTTGCCCTATCTTTATGGATTCCCAAAGAATCTTTGTTGTTGTTTTTTGTGTGTTTTTATTTTTGTTTTTTTGTTAGCACACGGATAGGGAAACTGTTGCGAATTTTCTTCACGTGGGACACACCTAACCTTAGGATACTAGACTATCAATTTGTATTTTGCGGCTGGAATTGGTAATATTCCTTTCTCCATTTATTCTGTAATTTTTTATAGAGTCTGTCTTCAAAGTTACAAGTTGAGTTCAGAGGTGGCAAAGGTCCCTTTGAGGAAATAGTTCTTCAATGATACCACTCCCAGGGGACCTAGTAACACATGCCTACGAACTCCATGAGGGGTTACTACATTTGTTGACGAAGACCTTAACAGTTGTTTATGAGGCTCAACATGTAATGGGTCATCCATCCTTTCCCCTTTCTCTTTTCTTCTTCCTCCCTTTTATGTACACTCCCTTATTTTCCTCTTCTCTCTTCCTTCTTCTTCTGCCTCTCTTTTTGTTTCTCTCCCTCCCCACCCATTCTGTTTTCTTCCCTCCTTTTGCCATTCATTATCCTAGGCTGGTATGCTTCAATGACTCCCACTACTAAGTTTTGTTCCAGAAGAATTCCCCTGCTTCGTATCAGCCCATGGTTCATCACTGACTGCTCAATAGAATCCAAGCAGGAGAAGAATTCCAGAGGAGAATGGGCTGTGCCTGGGTCTCCAAGACCCCATTTAGTAGGACTATGTTCTGAACTCCCCTCTCCCCAACTCCTATTTGTTTTGAACTACCACCTCCAGTTCCCAATTTGGGTTCTCTAGACCCTTAGAGTTCTAGAAGGATAGTAATGGAATTACTTGAACTATTTCAGTACTTCAAAAAAGCCTAGAAAATATTGTATGTTAATCCACAATAGAGCCTTGAACAGGCAGACTTAAATAATGGAAAGTTTATTTTCTTTTCGGGGTGAGGGGGAATGGTTAGTATGGAAAGGGTGAGGGGGAATTTTATGCCACACAAACCCATTGTGAGAACTCTATCTCATGCTGAAAAGAAGTTCTGATTGGCAGCTGTGCGTATTGTCTGTCTGTAAGGTAGAGTATATTGGAAAGAATATGGGTATTGAGGTGAGACCCACCAGAATTTAGTTTCTAGCAATAAGACTTGGGCAATTTACTTAACATTGCTAAACCTCAGTTTATTCATCAGTAAAATGGGGCTAATAGTTTCTATTTTCAAGCTACTGTGAGGACTTACATATAATGTATGTAAAGCACTCATTAATACAAACCTTGTACATTATAAATGCTTAATATGTTTTTGTTATAAATGTAATTTATTTGGTAGACAAATATCTTTTTAAAACACACAATCCTTCAGGAAAATAATGAATCTGACCATTGGAAGATGAGGTTGGGAAGCACTCCCATAACATAGCTGTACATGGCAACACTCAGTCCCCCTTGGGAATGCCTACCAAGTTCTTAGGGCTTTGACTAGGGGATAGACAAGGAAGTCCCACATCCTTTGTTTTGATGAAAGGATCCTATCTTGAGTTGTTGTTAGTTGTTGTAGGTTGGCTCTGACTCATGGCAACCCTACGTAACATCTCATTCTTTTGTACATAGGGTCACCTATCTTGAGGGAGATACTCAATTCCCTGAATATACCTTGGCAACATTTCCTTAAGCCCACCTGTTTATCTGCTTGGTTGCTACATCATTTTGACATAGCTCTGGTGATGAGATTCAAGAAGTACCAGGTCTGCTCCTGACTACCTATCTGTTTATGAAGACATTGGGATGTAAGGTGGGAAGAACAAGGAATGGAGTGTCTTGGGAAAAGGGAAAGAAGATGAAGTTTGTTGAAGAGAAAGGGTAAGGGAAGGAATGAGGTAAGTTAGAAGACCGTCATAGCTTACTTTTTACCCCCTTGAAAATGGGGCACTGAGACTCCAGAAATTTACCTAGCCTCTCTTCCTATTTGCAACCAAGAGGAAAGTTGGGAAGTAGGATTGTTTTAGTCAGGATAGGCTAATTGCTGTAACATATGATCTCAAAATTTCAGTGATTTGACCCAATAAAAATGTATTGTTATTGTCACAGCCCAGTACGGATTGGTGGGCGTGGAGGTGTGTAGGGTGTGGTAGTTTATTTTATACAGTAATTCAGGCACCTAGGCTATTCTCAACTTGTGGCTGTATCTTCCTCTAGGTTCTGAGTCCTCTCCATTCAGCCAGTGCATGGGGAAAGAGAGTCTGCAGAGGACTGCACGGGAGGCTTTTTATGGCCAGTCCTGGACGTGGCATCCATCACTTCAATCCACAATCTATTGGCCAGAACTCAGTCACATGGCTCTGCCCAAATACAAGAGACGCTAGGAATTGTAGTCTAGCTGAGTGCCCAGTGCAAAACACTTTCTGCCACAAAGGGGAATAGATACCTCCTCAGCATCGGCAGATAGTTCTTGTTTATCAACAACAATGTACAAAATAAATGCGCTGTCCTGTTTTCAGGTTGCAGCACCTAGACTTACCATTAATGTCTTGGTCACTTTCTGGAAAATGTCTACCTGTCAGTATCAGCATCAACCTCATGACCAACACAAATCATTCCACACTGAGCACTGACTTGTTCATGCTTAGGACTTCATAGAACCTCAAGATGCCTGGACCAAGGCCAGGAAGAAGGTCTCATTGGAAGCTGCCTGTGCACTGACATTTCCCTTCTCATCAAATGGTTCTCCTGACAAAGTCTTGCAAGTAATCCAGCAGAAGCCATGTGTGATATCTAAACCAAACTTTGTCACGCGTAAACTATGAAGAGAATAACTGTGTTATAAACATTTAAAGAACTGTACTCATACTTCCTCAGAAAATAAAAAAAAAACATATTTTGTCTTTTGGTATTTTCTTAGTTGTCATGACTCCATACTTGTCTGCACTCTTTCTTCCTGCTTCTCTCATTAACCAATTTACAAAAGCGATTTCATAGTTCAACCATTTTAGAGACATCCATTTGTCCCCATTTACTCACAGGCTAGCATTCCCATTGAGTTTAACTTCCTCAAATAATTTTTGTTCATTTTCTTGCTTATTCTCTTTTTAGCATCCTGGATAACCTTGACTCACCAATACCATTTTTTTTTAAACTGAGGTCTTTGTTCCTCTGTAAAAATCAGGTTCTTTTCCTTACTCATTCCTTTATTCTTTCATTCACTCATAATATTCATTCATTCAGCAAATATTATTGTAAAACTACTATGTACCAGGCACTATGCACTATGCTAATCTTTCGGAATGCAAAAATGAAAAGACAAGATTCCTGCCCTGAAGGACTCATGGTTCAAATAAGTAGATGAGCACGCACAGTACACAGTACAATGTAATCATATGCAAAATGAAGAAACATGCAGAGTGCAGGGAAGCATTGGAATAGGGGGCCTAAATCTGCCTAGGTAAACCAAGGAAGACTTCACATAGGAGGTAGCACTGAGTTTTGAAGGATGAAAATGTCTTTGCCAAATGGACAAGTTGGAAAGGGCATGCTTCAGA